GTACCAGATCAAGAGAAGACATCGGAGGATATGGAGACAGATGCTTTCTTGGTTGAGGTCCATAAGAAAAGCATTAGTAATAAGATTAGGAAACGTAATAAGGAAAAGAAACTTAGTAAAGCGGTGGAAGATCAAGTATCATTACAAAAAATATCTGATATTGCCTCTTGTATCTCTTCTTCTGAAAAGCTCGTGAGTATAAAAAATGGGTAGGGATTAATTTAAGAAATTACTTGCAACTTTGATAAATCCACTATTCCTTCATCTATTCAAGAGAATGATTCTATATGCGCATTGTCTCTCAACCCTTCAGAAATTTCGCTTATTTCGGGTAAGGAAAATATCATTTGTTTATATCAAAGAGCCAGCGATGCAGAAGGTCTCACAATGAAAGCTAATCAAAAAGAGATACTAAGCTGATATTTATATGCTGAAGAGTTTTTAATTATGGTTAAAGACACCATGGTTAATGGTAATGTTGGCGAGAAAAAAACAAAAAGTCAGGTTTATGATTTTATTGTCCAACAACTTCCTGATACTAAGTGAGATAATTTATGTAAGCAAATTCAGAGAGCTATAAAAATCTTTGATTTATTCGAAAAAATAGGTATAGATAAGATCTGGTATATCAAAACTTATAGCGCAAATTATATCTCAAAAATTACTAATACAGATCTCTAAAAGGTTATAGATCACTTTTCTAATAATTCTAATTCTTTTACTGAGCCAGAATTTTCACCGATCTCAGGACGTCCAAATCATGTGACCAAAATCTCTGAAACTATAGCTAATTCATCCTTATCAGCCGATGAGAAGGATTATATAAAAATGCTTATGGGGGGTATTGATGATGAGACTCTCTATGGGAGTACACCATACGTAAACGAGGCTAAAGTAGAGAAAGAGGTGGTAAACGAAGTTAAATCAGATGGTGAAAACGTTCCTAATAGTTCAGGAGAGGAAGTCGATCATGATTTCACATCCCATCCAGTGGAAGAAACGAATGATGATAGTGACTGTAATCACGATAATGATTCTGAAGAAGAGATGCCAGATAAATTGGACGATGATAGATATAATGATTACGGTAGATATAATGAATGTGATAGAGGTTATTATTATCGTGACATGTATTATGGAAACAAGCAACTGCGCATAATAATTTATTCTCAAACATTCTCGCACATTCTCAAAAATATGTATAACCCCTTGATGAT